AATCCTCAACACCCCGAACGGCTTCTAATAGGTTGACTAGTCATCTGCCTTTGTCTGTCACCGGTTGAATACCCTGTCGAACCGCTCCGGCTTCTCTGGCTGAACCGTGTAAGTGTTGAGCTACTTTTTGTACTTGTTCCCAGAAATCTCGAATGGCTGCATTTCTGGCTTTCACTCTTTGATGAGCATGTTCCCTAATAGAAATGCTATTGGAGCCTTCCGTCGATAGCAGCTATCTGAAGTTCATTTGTTTGTCTCTTGAATCCGTCCAAAATGGCCTTTAACTCAGCTAGGGTTTCGACATCTTGTTCTTGTTGTCTCTGAAGGGACTCTCCCGATCAGTAGCCTTTTTCTCTTCTTGCCCCTGCAAATTTTGCCAACTCAAAAGGTCGACTTTTGATGTGCTCGGTGTAAATCTCGGTCTGTTCTGAGTCCTCTACAAAGTGACATATTTTCGATTATGGGTACCATGCCTTCTTGGTTGAATTGTCTTGCAGATTGTCTCCCTGACCATAGTCAGACCTTCGCATTTTTCACCTCTTGTATTACAACCCCTTTGTCCATTAATGTGAATTAGCTAGGTTTAACGAACACATTTTAGTGTATCAACATCTCTTTTGAATGATGCAAATGATAAAAAAATAAAATAGAATTAAAAAAGGGAAAATGAAAAGAGAAAAATATTAGTGAGATAATGATAATAAAAAATAATAATGAAAATAAAAAGTCCTACCTCACATGTTATCTACCCCACATGCTTATTATTCATACTTGGACATGATCTATATCCCGCATGCTAACTTTAAGCAAATCTTAACTGCATATTTGTCTAGTTCGCATGTTTTGAACAAAAAATAAAGCAGAAAATAATCTCAAAACAACCTAGGGTTTGAAATGAGGTTTTGGGGTGGGCTCTAGCTCCTTGTAGTCTCTCGATTTAGGTTCTAAAGAAAGGTACCCGAGTTCTCCTTGCTGGTGCCCCATTGGGCTCGCCAGACCCTTAGTCCTAAGCCCAATACAAGCTTATGTAGACTAAGTTAAACTCGAGAGGATACATTCTCTTATGCCCATACGGAGAATAAATTCACACGAAGACATAAGGTATATGAATCTCAAAAGTTACTTGCTAGGCCCATAGGGAGAATAAATTCCCACGAAGGCGTCGCTTTCACCCCTACTTAAAAGGGTTCGGAGCTAGGGTATAGAGCCTTAGACGAAAAAAAGTTAAAGATATGAAATCATTGAAAAAAAGTCAGTGCAACTATTTATTTGAAAAATAATCAAAGATAAATAATTAGAATCGAAAAAATAAATTAAAATTTTAAACTTGCAATTTTTGCTTAAAAAGACAACCAGAAATTAATTTCGGCCTGACAAACTTATCTGTCCCTAGTAGAGTCGCCAAGCTATCGGAATAGTCTTTCGGTTGGGTCCAGAACTGGGCTTCGACTTGAATAAAATGGATTAGAGTCGCCACTGATCATTTTAAAAAACATTTAAGTGGATCGGACACCATCTTACCTGATTTGCGTTTTACCATAAATGTGTAGGATTCGGGAGTCGGTTATAGTTAAGGAATGATTAACACCCTTGTACTTCCCTTTCGGTACCAATTAATTTGTCAGTTGTCTTAATTGCGAAAATTAAAATTTAAAAATTCAACTCGAATTGCTTATCTTTAATTGGTTGGAATTCTTCTAAAAAGTCAAAAATGTTATATAATAAATATTAAATAAATCAAGGGAAAAAATAAAAAATTTTAAATTTTAAATTTTAAAAAAAAGGAAAAGAAAAAACCTTTCTCTGCATTGCTTTGCAATTCGTCCAGGTAAGTGCTAAGCTATGGTTGACCACTTTTTTGGCCCATATTTGTTCACCAGCTCGATTATTAGTTCGTCCGCCTCTTTAGACCAAGGCCCTTTAACTAACTCTGGATTCAAGACATTTTCCCACCTGTATAAGCACTGTACATCAGTCCGATCCTTGAAACACTCGGCTATCTTTTTCCAATTTTTTCCTTTGAAACGTTGAACAGCGTCACGTAGAATCTCATACTCTTCGGTTGTCTATTGTCCTTTTGTAGAGCGTCTTGTAGGACCGGTAGTCCTCCCATGAAGAGCTCGCATTCTCTGAGCATCATCGTCGATGTTGGGTCCAACCGAAGGGGTCGATAATTTTCTGTCACCTTCCATAGTTCTTTTGTAAATAAACGAAGCTGCATACCGCAATTCCAACTCTACAACACTTCTCCCCTTAATCTACAGTCCAAATCATCAGAAATCAACACAACTATAGAGTTCCACTTAACTGAGCTTCGAAACCCGAGAAACGAAGAATCTGATAAGAGATGAAGTAGAAACGATGGGAATTTGTAGATCCAAGCGAGGATATGTTGAGAAAGTGAAGATAAGGATGTGCAAAATGCACAGCGAAGATTAAAGAAGATGAAATGGAGAATATCAGAATAAGATCAGAATAAGATCAAAAGGAAACCAAGCAAGAAATGGAGAGGGATAGAGAAAAGGGTTTTTTTCGTTGGTCTCCATCCCATTTTTACTGAATGCCTGCCTCATTTATAGTTGTATGTGGCTTTGTTTTTTTGTGATTGGTAGTGGGTTTAGCGGAGTAGGTATAGGGATGGCAAAAAAATTTTGAATTTTAATGGGGAAAATCGAAAATCGAATTAAACGGGTCGGGTTCGGGGATGATAAATGGGAACGGGGATGGGGAAAATCTATTTATTTTAAACGGGGACGGGGACGGGGACGGGTTTGGTAATCCCCGCCCCGATTACCCGATTACCCGCCCCGATTACCCGCCCCGATACCCAACCCGATAAATATTAAAAATAATTATTTATTTATATATATATAATATTAATAAATTTAATTTAAATAAAAAATATATATTTATATATTTAATTTAAATATATATATATATACTCGGCCCGATTCCCGGCCCAATACCGACCCAATACCCGACCCAATACTCGGCCCAATATCCGTTTAAATAACCGTTTATGCTAAACGGGGATACCCGTTTCCCCGCAGTTTTCCCCGATTACCCGACGGGGATCCCCGTTTAAATCTCTACGATTTTTTAAACGGAGACGGGTACCGATTTTTTAAACGGGGACGAAGACGGGGGACCAATACCCGACTCGAACCCGGCCCGTTGCCATCCCTAAGTAGGTGATTTTTTTAGTGGTGGGTAGTGAAAATGGTTGAGACACGTGGGGGTTGGAGTTGAATGGGTTGAGTGTTGGGTTTGGGTTGGATTCGGATCCGGGTCTTGCAACTGGGTCTTAGGTGTGTACTGCTAGGCTTGTAACTGGGCTGAGAGTAGGCCTGCAAAATGTAATTGAATTTAATTAATAATAATAATAGTATATTTTTTGACCTGGACAAAAAAAGATGTCTACAATAATATATATATATTATATAATCATGTAATTATTTATATAGAGACGAAAGATAGTGTCTATAATTATCTTTCTTAATCATTAATAATATACATACATTCCATACACGTTTATTTAGAAAGAATATCACAAGTAATATTTATTGTTATGCTCTTTAATATCTATATTTTTCATGATTTCATTATTCATAAAAATGGGATAATGATTTATTACGATAATAATTATAAGAATTTAGGTTATCGGCATAATTCTTTTTTTATTAATGTAAGGGTAATTATAAGTTAATACATGTTTGTAAACAATCATTCATTTAACTATTGATGTAACTTAATCTGTGCAGTGTCATAATTCTTTAAATATATTAATTTCATTCCTAAATAAATAATTTATTAGAAATTATCTTTAAATGTTGACTTTAAAGATGATGAAAATTTCATTTCACTATCAAGATAGTTAAGGATTCATTTCATTTTAGAGTAACAAAGGTATATACATCAACAGATACTTATATAGTAATTTAACATTGAAAAATTATATAAAGAAAAAATTAATGAACCACCAGTGACACTACCATTGAAGATCTCAATAGTATCACCTTGGGCAACTTGATGCTACCTAAACGATCGGTTTTCATCCATCACATTCTGTTTATAAATAAAAAAAAAAGGAGCCTTGTTGTGGCAAATGAAAATGAAGCCCTTGGTACAACTTTTTCCTCATGTCCCCAACATTATCCGTCGCATTCACTTCCAACGGTACCTTCTTCGACCCGCACTTCGGCAACACCAACAGCTTCAATTTCTTAGAACCCGACGCTGTCCCTGTATCCGTAGGAGACAGCTTAGTATCAACATCGATATCGTTATTCTCCATCGGCTCACACTCTCCGTTTGACTTAACTACTAGCTGACTAGCTAGGACGGCTTCCATTTGATCGTGAATATTCTCCTTTGATCGTAAAACCGTGTCTGTTTCCACGGGGACTGCGGTTTTTGACGATGTCATATCGACATTGAGTTGTGCTTTCTTTGACGGGGGATGAACTTGGTTAGATAATTTTGGATAACGTTGATGGCAGTTGTTGAACTGAAAAAACTGATTTGAGAAATCAAAAGTCCAAAACTATTTAGATCGGAGTCCTGAGTCCCATACCCAAACCTAGATAGAACATACGAGAAATATAAAACAATCAAAATTTAACTATCAATCGATAGTTTATTAGACGTTAAATAAATTAACATTGTGTAAAGATAAAAATTAAATTAACAAAATCAGTACCCAACCTGGATTTAATTAGCCAACGAGTTAGTTTGACTATATATATATATATAATTGATAATCCACCAACTATATATATATATATAATTGATAATCCAACCGTACCTGATCTAGATTAAGATTAATTAACCAATAAAAAACTTAATGGTCCAATTTTTACGTCTCTTGTTAACTCGCCAATTGTGTTACCAAAAAACTTGTGATATCTTAGTTAAGAATTTTGATAACTAAAATTAGGGCTACTTTTTTGTGCAACAATGTTCAATTCTATATCCTGTAATAAATATGAATCCATAAAACTATTACTAAATACTATTATCTTTTCTATATATATACACACATATGACCGATAAGGGGGCTATCTCAAAATCTTGTGATTCCTTAGATGCCCATGGAAGCACCATTGATATGTTACTACACAGAATCCGTATGTGCAATCTAGAGAAATCATATGACCGTACACTACATTCGAGGCCAAGCCTGACCGAACACATCCTTCTTCGTGTATTGTCGATCCCAAGACCACGGGACATCTGCAATCGAAAGAGACAACAAATTCGATGAATTTTGGAAATTCAGCTTATAAATATTGAAGATGATGCACGAGATTCAAAGTTTTATGACCTTCACATGTGTATAGCTCGGGAGGGAGTTCGTACGGCACGGGCAATGGAATTACTTCGGATGTCTTGCTTCCTTGCCAAACAAGAGTTACTAGCTTCGTTTTTGCTGCTACAGAGTTGCTGATCGGTTTTGATTTAACGATAACCTGATTTTACAAAACAATAGAGATGGTCATACCTTTTTCTTCTATAGGTAAGTGCGAATGAATCGGAAACAGCCATTTACCTTTGATGAACCTCCATTGGCTGTACAAGAAAATTCGCGGCCATCTTCTTTGATATGAGAAGGTAAAAATAGCACACCGAGCTAGAAAGATTTATACAGAACATAATGTTGATGCTTAGCTAGCACGAACAAGTTGAAGGGTCGAATAACAAGAGAAAAGTCGAATAAAAAGCAATGCATTCATTTGTTGAATAACGAGAGAAAAGTCGAATATAAATCGATGCATTCATTTGTTGATTATCGACAACGTATGTACCTCGTAAGAACGGATCATCAACTGAGAATTGTTCTTCTGAAGAGCTCCCCAGGCAGCTTTGCTAAGATTTGCAGAAGTTAGCAAGAACCAACTGCATCCATGGAGAAAGTTTTAGAAACCAGCACGAGAAAACAGACACACTGATGGCCCAAAGTCGAACGTATAGTAGAGGCAATACAAAATCTTAAAAATTAAAAGCTTTTGAAAGCATTATTTAGGGGCTGAATGAATTCTTACGCCAGTTGTTGCCCCTTGTAGCGGGTAAACGTCTTGATATGTGGCATTGCACGACTGAAACACCCGAAAAAAGAAAAATCTTAAGGATCAACAATGCTGATTGATATTTTATAGCTTAATCTTTCCCCAGCGAGGAAATAGATATACCAGCGGCCGGTATGGCTTGCCTTCCACTTTGCCCAATACTTCTTCAAGAATCCTTTTTCCACGTTCTTTATAGGACTTGGAATTGCACTGCCAGCAGCATAACCCTATGAAACAAGGTAGAATAACAAATATAAGCGAAACTTCACTTGAAGAGAAGTAGTGATTTTTGTTCAGCATCAGCTCATACCACTAACATTTTAGTTTAAAGCCTAAAAAATAATGTTAACACCGAGAAACCTACTCGATAGTACCTCTAAGGAGCATCTGCATACCACTACCAATTTAGTTTAAAGCCTAAAAATTAATGTTAACACCAAGAAACCTACTCGATAGTACCTCTAAGGAGCATCTGACGTCCTCAACAGTGGGCCAAATTATAAATGGCTCTCCCAATCCAAGTGGTGTTTTATCTTCTGAATAACCCGATGACATTGAAGTTGCTAGCTCGGACATCCATTTCTCGTCCAACGAACCGAGGGAGGAGAACTACAACAAGCCGAACAAGAAAAAATGGCATCAGTGAAAGCAAAATGTATACAACTACTTTCTTCTATTAATCTATACATACCATGAAAAAAAGTCCAATAACTTAACGAAATTTCATTAGTCTGATCCCCGAGCTTTAAAATTCAATCCAAATCACCTCATGACTACACATTAATCAAAGTCCAACAATACCTGATAAACTAGAGGAGATTTCTGGAACTCTTTATCAAAAACACACTCTTGGAGAACAGTACGCATTTTCATATGACCCCACTTTTTCATATTAGAACCCGTATGATATCCAGGTACGGACGCAATTAGTTGAACCTGAAAATTTTCAAATAGTTTATAGGGTCCCACATATAATTATGATCTGTAGGTATAGATCTAAAATATAATTTCAAACAAATAAATTTATACCTTTGCCTCACTGTAATCGAACTTCCTGAAGAAGGTGGAATTAATGTTGAAGTTTCCAAGAGCTGGTAAATTAGCAGTGAACTCTGGCCACTATAAGAATTCCAGAAAAGAAAGGCATTGTTATAACTATTATCAAATAATATACGACAGATACCTGTAAGTAATTGTATGAAGGGAGAAATGTTTAAATTCTCAGCGCAGACAAAATCATGTTTCTCACATGCAATTTATAAGAGCCAATCCAAAGAATGTGCTAAAATTTGGTACCTTCAATGTGCTGAGATAGTCAATCAAGTCATTCTCAAATCCACATCCTTTTGCTGAGTTACTTTGATCTTTCCAAGGGAAATCTTGCATCCATAAACCTTGACTTTTATTGTTCCAGTCAACATATATTAAGTTTGCCGTATGAACAATAACTCTAATTCCTTTAGAATACACAAGGAGCATTGCCTTCGAATGGTGTGTTCCAAATGAAATCGGTAATGGTGGCTTGTGTAGAATCCAATTGTTAGGCTTCCTTCTCTGTATAAGGAACAGCAAATGATGTGAAAATTCACAAATCAAGCTTTCAGCGATAAAAAGAGACATTTAGACCTATAGCTGACCTTCATAAGATCCAGCCTGCTATCACCTTCCCCATGAATAACCAATACATTGGGAATTTTCGCAAGTTTCGGACATGCTACACAAGGCAAGATGAAGGAACAGTGTTAGATGTATGAAAGAAGTATAAACCGGATAAGAAAAAAAAACAGCCTCATAATCAAACAACAAGAACTACACCAAAATGAGACATCGATAGAATAAAGAACATCATAACCGAAGTCCTTACACAATGTTACTTGAGGAACTGAATAACAGATGCACCATAAAAGTTGAAGAAAATTCACCTGATATTAACCAATCAATATCTACCATGTAATTCGAGAGGACCGCAAGAAGAACATCCCCCTAGCAATGACATTAACAATCAAGCAGTGATATATTCAGTAAAAAAAAGGCCATACATAACATGAATCACCAATACCATTACCTCAATCACATCCCCTATAGAAACAGAATTAGTATTTGCCCATGCCGGCAACCCTTGAACTTTCAAGAGACGAAATGTTTGCGGCAACTTATCATTCGAAACCCGAAAACTACTAATAGCCTCAACACAGTTCTGCTCTTTATTACTACCTTCTTTCTCCTCTACCTATCAAATTAGAGCAAACCCATAGAAAGAAAAGCTTTTTAAAGGGGGGAAAACATAAGCAAAAGCTTCAAATTTAATACCTTCAGCTGCTTAGCCGAGTTTGTTTCATTTTTGGAACCTAGATTTCGCTTTTTCTTAGCAGCAAGTTCCGGGTTTTCTCCATCGCTGTTAGCTTCACTAAAACTTCTCTTATTTTCGCCAGTTGAAGATGATACGTATTTGAAAAGGTGATGACCCGGAATCAGCTCTATGATATCACCATTGCTAATAGCAGCATTTTCGCGGGAAGCAAGCTTCTTTCTCACCTTGCCGGACCTAACAACCACGGGGTTTGTTCCCTCCTACAAAAATTCCACCAATTGATCAACAGAAGAGAGGGAGAGAAAGAAGGAAAAGATTAAGAGAAAAAAGAATGGAACTTTACGACGAATAAATCGGCGGAGCCGTCAGGGGAGGTGGTTAAAGCAATGTGTTTGCGGCTGAGTCTCTTGTCGGGAACGGAAACATCGTTGCGGCCGATGAAATTGGGGCCGTGAAAAAGCGGGAGCTTAGGGAGTGAAGTGTCTTCTTCGAGATTGTTATTTACAGCAACCAAGTATCCAATCTATTAACCAATAAAACGAGTTTATAACCATGAAATTAGAAGAATAAGAAAAAAACAATAAAAAGAGAATTATTTCAGAGGGGTTATTGACCTGTGATCGAGGCATGGGTGACGAAGTGGCGTTCGGTGCATGAAACAGAGAAACAAACGGTGGCTTCAAGAGACTGGTGTCGTTCTTCTTGCTCTGACCTGGGCTTTTGGCGATTATTTGTAAATTCGAGCAAGATAAAATTAATTTCTGAGGTAGTGGACTTTTGGGCCTGGCGGTGCGGTGCGCAGTGGGGCAGGGCGGCAGCTCGGAAGAGAGAGCCAATTCCATGGAAAATCATGTTGCGCTCAACTTCACCTTCATCACATTAGACAGTAACACGAAGAATCAAAGTTAATCGGTCAAAACATAACATGTCACATTTCATTCTCAAAAATTATTTTTATTTTTTTAACTGAACACATTTGTTTAAATATTTTCCAGAAAAATGAAAATAACCTTTTGTTGTAAAGTGAGGAATTTTTACCTAATAATCTAGGCAGGTGGATTATTTAGCCCAATAGCACACCTGGAATTTTATTTTGGAATCTATGAAAAATGTTACAGTGTCCACAAAACTCGTCATGTTAGCGTGACAAGTTCCATGGGATATATTGTAACCTCCTCAGACCGATGCGGGTAACCCGATCCGATCTAAGGTGTCATATTAGGGTCACCGGAGCGACCCATTGTAAAAATCTCGGAAAATTTAAAACTTTTATTAAATCCTGTAACTCATAAAATAATTTATCAATATGCCGAAATAAAACAGATTTTCAGACTCGTATATAAAATAAAATACAATTACATGTCCTCTAATCACATGTACCATACTCTGCAAGCAACGCCAGAAAAACTCCCTTACTAATGTTGATAGTTACACTGGTAAAATTCTTTTAACCTGCAATGGTGAGTAATAGAGTAAGCTTCAGAAAGCTCAGTAATACAGAACTACCAGGTGATACTACATGACATGCAGATAAATGGAAAGTCATATAATTTCCTTATTGAATCAAACATATACCGGTTTTCGGAATAATCTGAGGTTCCACTGGTAGTTCATCAAGTAAAAGCTATGAAGATCTTAGGTCATAGGAAGCATTCATATAATGACATTTTCAGGAGATCGAATAGGATGTCTAGTGTGTTCCACTCAAAACCAGTGAAAAAATATAAATCTTTTAAAACCATAGTTGAACCCTTACCCAAACTCCATTATACAGTTCCTTAGAACTGCGTCCATAGGGCTTACCCTAAGCACAGAGCAAAAAGGGAGCCAACCTAAGGATATACCTTGGGGGCCTATGGGCCTACCCATGGATATCCTTAGATCAGTAGGGTTACCCTAAGCACACAGCAAAGGGAACCAACCTAAGGATATACCTTGGGGCCTATGGGCCACCCAAGGATATCCTTAGATCCGTAGGGTTACCTTAAGCACACAGCAAAGGGAACCAACCTAAGAATATGTCTTGGGGCCTATGAGCTTACCCAAGGGTATCCTTAGGTCCGTAAGGTCTTACCAACTGAGTCAGAGCAGTGCCTTCATACTTCAGAATCCTATCCATATAAAAATCCAGTAGAAATCAGTTTAGCCGTAAATCATAATACCTGGACCGTGATCCAGTAATATGTCATAACCGTGATAATGAAATAAATCATATAACCAATTTCCACCTGTACACCATAAGTATTCAAATGATTAACCCAAGGGAGTACCTTGGGGCCCAAGGATCCCATTAGGTCCGTAAGAAATTTCAAGCTTGATCAGAGCTATACCTCCAGTCTACCCATATAATATCCCAATAAAACAGTTCGATTATAACCAGTGAATCATAAAACCATAGTTCATAAATCAGTAGCTTTCATGATTTCATACATTAGGAAAAATTCATATTTTCGGTGAAAACCATAATCGAATATCATATACCATGTTGTCATGGTTCATAAACCAGTAAATCAATACTTTCGTTAAAACTCATTTTAAAACATATAAAATCGTCATGTAGCACATGTGGAACATACTAAAGAATCCGAGTATTTTTCAAAGGCACTATATAGTTATCAGTATGGACAACATGAATTTTTTGCAATTTGATCGGATTACAGGAACGAGGTCCTATGGGAGAGAATCAATTACTAACAGATCTAATCAGACATTTAAGGTTGATACTTTAGAATCCCATTATGTTTTCATGTGCATCAGGAAAGTGTTCAATAATGCGCGGAGTGATTTGTGTTGTTAAATGAGAAATGAAGATTCAGGACATTTACAATCCATGCTGATCGATCGGGTTATCGAACAATTTGAACTGAACAACTCTCAGAACTAATGCATGTCGACCCGTCAATTTGTTGCCTTCCTAGGGTATTCACTCTTTAATACTAATAATTCTTGTCCTTAAATCATCTTCGTAATCATCGCTGAATAGATTTTCCAATGGTCTTTATTTCATTTCCACGTTTCAACGATATCAGTAAATACTGACGTAATTGATTCGTGGTTTATGACCCATAAGTATAATTCATCATGTAAATTCAACAGCGTTTCCAAACTCATCCAAATCACTTATTTAATCCTCAGTCATTGAGGTTACTTATTAAATTTAGCAAACATGTCTATCCCAGTTACTTCAGAGTTTTCCAGAGTAATTTAGAGGTTTCTAAATTTCGGATACCTATTGTACTTTCATTCAGTTCAATTTATTCATTCTGGTATTCGTGGTTGATTTATCTCATGCATATCCACTTCTTAGTACCGAATGCACTCTAGAGTTGAGCTGAGCTAAGTCCTTCCAGAATTATCATCGATCCAAACTTGAGAAGACGAACACATATTCAAGTGATATCTATGTCATTTAAGTATTGGCATAGCATTAGGGTTGATCTATTCACTTAAGTTGTGTTCCATAACTTTTAAGGGTAGTGCAACACCCACGTTTATTTGGATTCCTTAATTAATCCAATACATTTACTTAGTCTAGGCCATAAGGGTATGTTGGTCATTTGGTGCTCAGTTTTATTCCATTCATTTCAGAGCTCAAGGATATCCAATCATTCCTGAGCTTGGTGATATTCTTGGGTCATTTCTGTTCAGGGGTATTTTGGTTATTTTACAGATCCAGTGTATTACAATCATTTCCTTCCATCCGACCTTATTATCGAATTCAAGCTTATCATTTATTTCAGTCGTTTCGAACAATTCTGTCAAAAGAGCACCATCGATAAATTATTCTTCATGTATTTACTCATAACTCAGAGATTTACGGATTATTAGGAATTTTCTGTATAAACGTGTAACTTAACGATGAAACTAGTAATTCATCGATTTAGGCATGACTTCATGAGTACTTTTCCATTCAGGGTCAATTTGAGCTACTTTTCCCTCTCAAGGGTAATTTTGTAATTTCTTAACCATTTACTTTTGGAATTAAAACTCTTAACCAAGATAATTATAATTTAGAGATTCTAGGGTTAATCGCTTTTCGTGATAATCTCTAAACTTTAAATCATTACTTATCAAACTTCTAATATCTTGTACAAGCCATCTGGGGTTTAGAAATCAGTTAACCAGATTTCCTAAGCAAAAACTAGTATTTTCTATACACGTCAGTAGTTTCATCAGATCAATATGTCTTTACAAACTTCTTATCCAACTTCCAGGATCAATTCTTGTTTTTTTACAACACAAGGGTATTTTCATAATTTTACCTAATCGAAGTATTCTCATCCAAGTACCTTAGACATTTAACCTTTAATGACATAAATTATAATTTACATAACCAGACTGATTCATTTATCACTTAATCACAAAACTTGTAGTTTAAATCCAACTATCCTCTAATTTCTTATATTAGTCATCTGAACCATATTCAGTTACCAAATTTTGACCGTATTCGGATCGAGTGTAGAAATTAATTATCTGCACAAATGAGACCAAACATTATCTTATTAATACATTTACCAATATCAACATGTTCCATAAAGCATAAAGAGGTAGTAAAGTATTACCTCGATTTTCATGCCATACTGATCGACCATTTAAACTCAATTTGAACGTCCTTGATCTTGAAATCAACTTCCAATAATTCCTTGGGATACATATCAATAGAAATTTCATTAAAAACAAAGCTTAATTGCGAAAAACGGATCGAATCGGGTGATTAATCAATCAAAAATAGCTTACCGAGTTTAAATTTGACGAAACGGACTTTGGATTCAGATTCAGGACGTCGAAAAACTTAAAATATGTCTTTTTCGAAAATTTTAACTTTTTGGTCAAAGTCAACAGTCAAAGTTAACGGTCAAACGGGTCAACGATCGGGTTAAAACGGGTCAACTGCCCCAACTGTTTTCGAACCTCCCCCACTCGCAGGGGCGACGCATGGGGCGCATGAACAGTACTACATGGCAGAGACACTTACCAAGGTCAGTTCACAATTTTAAATGGCGGAGAGCTCGATTTCGAAACGCCGAAACTTTAACTTCCTCACCCCCTCACGCGTCGGCGACGACGGAGACACAAAGGACACCGGTGGACTCGAAACGATGCAAGGAACACGATGGTGCGGGAGGTGTCAAAAACGGTTGGTCGGATCGACGTGAATCGACGGAAAACCAACAGATATTGAGTTAAAACCGACGATACTTTCTATTGAAATTTACGATGAATGACGCCGATTCACGATGAAAGGTTTAAGGGGTTTTGTTCATTGGTTGTCAACGAACACGATGGTGGTTTTGGTTCGTCAAACGGTGGCCGAACAGTGAATAGATCGGAGCTCAAAGGAGGGTTGAGGGGAAGAGAAAATGGGAACAATTCTGCAAAAATATACGGAGGGAGAGGCTTATAATTCTCTCCAAAAGAAAAATGTCTAAATCATGAGTTTAGTCACTCATTTTCCTGCACTTTATAAAATGGTATTCTAACTTTGTAATTTTACACTTTAATCCCCAATTTCTTCCAAAATACCACTTTAAATCCAATACTTTATAATTTCTAAAATTTAGCCCCTAAATTGGGGTGTTACAATTCTTCCCTCCTTAAAATAATTTTGTTCTCGAAATTCATTCATGTCACAGAATTGCATAAATGAAACTTACATCAGTTCTTTCATATATTTAAGTAGCTTTTACAGAAGAACCGATACTCTATTAATCCTTAACTAGCTGAGTATACATTTTCTTCAGAACTCTCCCTCATTCCAATAAAATAATCAGAACATAATTGTCCTTGTGGAATCAATTCAGGCTTGGTTACGAGAATAGGCTCACAGAGCGGTAACATATCCCAATATCATTTATA